CTACTACACAGTACGTGACCAACCCCCCTCCCCCTCCCCCCTCCCCCCCCCCCCCCCCCTCGCCTCGCATCACGACCTAAATTTCCCGCCCTCTCATCACAACCCGTCCGCAACCAGATGTCGCTGCCTGTGGAGACGCTGTTCCCTGGAGCAGACATGCCGCTCAAGGTGACCTTTGTTTGGAATGGGACACGCCGAGTTGCTGAAATCGTGCCGGCAAGCCCGCTGGAGGAAGTGCTGGCCATGGTCCATGGGCTGGTGGGCGAGGCTGAGGAGACCAAGCTGGTGCTGGTATACAAGTACGGCAAGGCCGGAGAGAAGAAGCTGGTCATCCGGTCAGAGCATGAGTTCCAAGCCGCATGCATCGCCTGGCCCGGTGCTGGGGACATCACCTTTGATGTCGAGCTGGAGGCCATGGTTGATCTCGACTTTAACGAGCTCTGCCTGAGAAGGCTGGCCCTGCTGGACAAGCCCGACGAGTTGCGGCGGCTAGAGTCGCGGATCATGGAGACGTTCGAGTCTCCTGGTGTGTGCTACATCATGACCATGGGCGGCATCGGTGACGTCGTCTACGAGTTCTCCATCTACCACGCCCTGGCACTCATCATGAAAATGCGCCAGATCACGCACCCGATCATCCGCGGCCTCGGCGGAAACATTGTCAAGTTTGAGGGCGAGAAGACCTTTGTGGCCTTTGGTGACGAGCGGACGGCGCTCGCCACTGGCATCATGGTTATGTCGGCGCTCGCCGAGTACAACGCCGAGGTCGACGACGCGATGCGGATCGAGGTCTCCATCGGCATCGACTCGGGCCCGATCCTGCTCATTCCGCACGACCTGTACGGCGACTGTGTCAACACTTCGTCCAAGCTCGGTGAGGATACCGCCGAGCCCGGCGAGCTGCTCATCTCGGACCGTTCGTATGCCCAGATCCAGAACGACCCAGTCTTTGCGCGGGCGTCGTTTGCGCCGGACAAGGTCAAAAGTCGGGCGTCGACCTGCCGTTCTTCCGGGTCATCGGCTCTGTGGCGCCGGCCGACGCTGACGCGCTCTACGCCCGCGCCTCGTCGGGAACTCCCGTCTCGCCAGTTGCTCCGTCGACCACCGCCGCCATCCACGACACACACTACCACGAGTGCACGTTTGCCAAGCTCTGCCGCCAGCGGCTGCTGCAGGACCGGGCCGGAAACACCAAGTTCATCGACGAGCGCATCCGTGAGCGGTATGAGCAGACCAAGGTCATCCTCGTCTCGGACATGTCCGGCTTTACCCGCACCGTCCGCAAGCGCGGCATCCTCCACTTTCTCTCGCTCATCATGCTCATGCGCAAAATTGTGGTTCCCATTCTCGAGGCCCACGGTGGGTACCTGGTCAAGACCGAGGCTGACAACCTGTACATGCTGTTTGACGACTGCGACGCCGCTGTCGCCGGCTGCGTCAAGGCCCAGCAGGCGCTCGCGGCTTACAACGACGCCCAGGCCGTCGAGGACGACAAGGCCCTCGTCGGCATTGGCCTCGACTACGGCCCGGTCCTCAATGCTGTCGACGACGAAGACATCTACGGCTACAACCGCAACCGCGCAGAGGTGCTTGGCGAGGACGAGGGCGACGCTGAGCTGTTGCTCATCTCGGACAACGTCCGCGCCAGCCTCTCGGCACCGGATGCCTTTACCTTTCCGAGCCCAAGCAGGCCGACGGCTTTGACGGCGACGAGCCCATCGAGTACTATCTCATCGAGTGGGAGCGGAGCGGGTGATGCGGCCTCCGGTCTCACTCGGGCAGCACCACTAGCCTCGACAGCGCGCCAGGATCCGAGAACACGCCAGCGGCGACCGCGGCAGCATGCACGCCGGCGCACCTGTGACCAACCCGCTGCAGCACATCGGCGAGCCCCAGTGCCCGCGCGCTGTCGGCTTTGGCCACCGCGATCCACGCCTCGCCGTACCGCGGCTCAGAGGCGCGAACGTCGGCCTCGAGCACTCCCCGCTCGTCATCACTTCCGATGGCCCATGCCCAGGCCCACGCGTCGCCGTAGCTCGAGTCGACCTTGCGCGCCTGCTGGAGCCACGCTTTGGCCTTTTCGCCGAGCCGCATAAACATGAAAAGCCGCGCCACATACGTCAGGATCCGCGCCTCACTCTTTGCAGCCTTCACCGCGTCCATCGCCCGCGAGCGCTTCTTGGCCGGCGGCTCCAGCTCGATGGCAAGGACCCAGAGGCGACCCGACCGCGGCAGCGCCGCCAGGCCCTCGGCCACAATCTGCCCCGCGGCCTCGCGGTTGCCAGCCATCATCTCGATCTTGGCGGCGCCCTCGAGCACCTCGTCAGAGCTAGGCAGCGCCTCGCGCCCGCGCTCGAGCGTCGCTCGTGCCGCCACGAGCTTCCCCTCGTCAACCTGCGTCTGTGCGAGGAGGAGCCACAGCGGCGCCGAGGTCGGAACTGCCCGCAGACCATCGCGGTAGATAGCGGCAGCTTCTGCAGGCGTCGCTGCACTCTGGCCGGCCATCATCCACAGCTTGGCTTCGTCTGGCCACGAGCTGCGGCCCGACGCCAGAAGCTCGGCCAGCCCGGCGGCGTCGCCAATCATCCGGGCGTGGACTGCTGACTTGACCCAGACCCGGGCCGATGGCGTCTCGGCCCGTGCCCGCGCCAGCAGCGCACCCGCGGCGTCAGCAGCGCCAGCGAGCGTTTCGAGCTTGGCACCAGCGAGCAGAATCGGCTCGCACCGCGGGACTGCGGCAGACGCCGCAGCCAGCAACTGCCGCGCCTCGCCGAGTTCACCAGCCTGCCACACCGCCTTGGCCGCCATAAGCCACAGAAGCGGGGCTGTCGGCAGGGCAGACACTGACGCCCGCAGCACCGCGAGTCGGACTGTCTCTGACGGCGCGAGGGCCGCTGCCCGCGCCCACAGCGCTGGATCGTCTGGCGCGTCTCCTCGCGCCCGCGCCAGCACTGCACTTGCAACCCGGTGGAGACCTTCGCCCGCATACCGCTCGGCCGCCTCAGTGGCGGCTGCGGTGTCGAGCGGCGTTGCAAAGAGGCTTGCAAGCGCAAGACCCTGGGCGGTGTTGGGAAGCCGGCGCGCTCGGCTCGGGCGATGTGGCTGTGCCATGCTTCGGCGTCACGAACGATGCCGGAGCTGGCGAGCTCGGTCACAGCAGCCTGTGCCACGTGCGCCACGTTGGGATGCGGCAGATCGCGGGCAGCGTCGGCTGGCTCTCGCGGCTCGGGCACTGCGCGTGCCTCCTCGAGGCGACAAACTGCGACCCAGACTCGGACGAGGGAGTCCGGATCGACAGCGGCACGCGCAGCGTTGAGCGTTTCGCGGGCGTCGCCGTACGACTGCAGCCGCGCCAGTGCCAGCCAGAGGTCGACGTCGGCCGGCACGCACTTGACGGCTTCGGTGAGGAGGACCCGAGCCTTGTGCGGCGGCTCCAGCTGGACTGCTGCCTTCCACAGGACCGCCGACGTTGGGTTCGCCTCCAGCGCCTTGCGGTAGACGGTCCGCTTTGCGGCGTCGGTCATCTCGAGCCGGGCGGCGGCCATCCACACCTCGACGGCGCGTGGAAGGCGCGATGCGGCGCGGGCGAGCACCCGCTTGGCCTCGTCGGGCTGGCACAGCCGTGCCGCCTCGAGCCACATGTCGGCCGAGTCGGGTGCCTCGCCGCAGCCCTCAAGCGCAATCTTGCGAGCCGAGCGCATCTTGCCGGCTGCTTCCTCCAGCCGGGCGGCGGCAATCCAGCTCGGCGCGTGCTCCGAGTAGGTGGCGCGGAGAGAGGTGAGCAACTCGCGGAGCTTGCGGTCGTCGGCCACCCGGGCCGCAGCCTCGAGCGTCTGGCTCTCCAGCTGCTGTAGGTAGGCCTCGGCGTTGACCGAGCCGTTGCCGCTACCGCTGGGGGCGGACGCACCGAGACCGGCGGCAGCGACGTCGAGCCGGGCCGAGACCGCCGACGCGCGGGCCTCGCCGAGCTTGCGCAAGTCGGTGGTGGTGGCATCCTGGGCCGCCAACTCTGCCGGAGTCAAGCCCGAGGCTCCGACCCGCGACGAGCGCGAAAACATGTCGTTCTCAACCTGCATGCGGAGGACCGAGTCCGGGACAGGCATGGCGGCAGCAGCGCCTGCGGTCTGCTTGGGCACGTACGCCACCTGGCCGACTTCAGGGATTGACTCCCACTCATCCACGGTCACATTTGTCAGCTCGCGACGAAGATCAGCAAACTGAGCATGGAGCTTGATGCCTCTCTGTGACTCCTCTGCCTCTGCCGCAGCATCCTTCCGCTTCTGCGCTTCTTCGGTGTGCCGATTGACCTTTGCGTCGACCGCAGCCCAGATAGCATCCGCCTCTGCATCTTCCGCCTCAAACACAGCATCGTCAAACTGTCCAGGCACTCCAGATACTGTCGATGACTTGCTCTTGCTCGCCTTGCTGCTCGATGAGTTTGTGCTTGCCCCTGGTAACTGAGGCCCAGAGAACCTCGCCGTGGCAATGTCCATCTTGGTGGTAAAGCCGACGGCACCCCGCCCCAACCCAGGCACGTAGCCCGGCGGTGGTGTGCCAAAGTCCACATAAAGCGACTTGCGGGTGGTGGAGAGTGACATGGTAGTCGTTGTGGGTGGTGGCGTGGAGTGGTGTGGCCGTGTGGCCATCACCGCCGCCGTCGCCGTGGCTGTGGTGTGGCTGGTGGTGCTGTGGCTCTGGCTGTGGCTGTCGCCTGGTTGCTACGAGTCGCACTGGTGAGCCATCGTAGCCTGACACGGGAATACAGGTACGAGATCAGACCACCGATGGCTGCCATACGATGTGCGTGTGTGTGTGTGTGGGGGGGGGGGGGGGGGGGAGAGAGAGAGAGAGAGAGAGAGAGAGAGAGAAAGGGTGCGCGATGACTGGAGACGACCGCTAGCGATGTGATGAGAGACCAAGCCCTGATCAACCGGACTCTGCCGTTCCCCAAACCATTCCCTTTCCGATGTGTGATTAGTCTCTGATGAGCTCCTGCGTCTGCTTCCGTCCACCGCCAGCTGCTGACAAGCTGGTCAACACAGTGAGTACAGAGGCGGACAGGTGGAAGGCGGCAATCGCAGACCTGACTCTGTTTCTTCTCTTCTGTACCCTCCCAAGCCCAAACGTATAACATGGCGTCAGCGCAGATGATGATGATGATCATGTGCTGTATGGTGGTGGCCGCGGTATTGGTGGTGGGGACGGCTGGTGAGGCTGCAAACGGTGCCGCGACCGAGGGCACACTGACGCTGCTGGTGGCGTACTGCCCGACGCTTACGACCAACGCAGGAGCGGTGGTGGAGGTGGATACGGTGAGCGGCGATATCAAGGTGGTGGGGAGCTTCACATGGCCGGGTGAGGCTGTCTTTGGCTGTGTCGCCGACTATGATCCCAACGTTGCCGTGGCGGGCTCTTCCATCTGGCTCAACTTTGTGGCCGACGATGGCGTCTTTGTTGAGGTGGATCTCGACAAGGGCGCGGTGGCGGGCAAGTTCTCGGCAGGCGACCCGTTTTTCACCGGCTTTGAGACCTTTGGCCTTGTTGATCGCAAGCTGCTGGGCATTTCAGGGACGGTCACCCAGTCGGGCCTCTGTGACGACGGGTGCTTCCAGTACGGCGCCATGGATCTCGACGGCAAGTACAAGGCCGGCGAGAACATCCTGTTCAAGGAGATGTCAGATGACGTCCACTACATCACCGACGATACGTTCTACGTCCAGGCCGGCTACGATCTGCGGGAGGAAAAGTGCGCGCCGGAGGCCGCCGACGAGTGCCTGCTCAAGCTCGATGTCAAGACCGGCGAGCTGATAGAGGCCACCTTTACCAACTACACCGTGTACGCCTACGCCGGTGTCCCTGTCCTTGATGCCCGTGTCAGCGCCGGGCCGATCGTCCAAGCGTGGATGGCCGGCTTTGCCGACGAGTGCCCGTCGGAGAGCTCGCCGAATCCCGGCTTTGCCTTTGGCACCGTCGACCTCTCGACGGCCAAGGCGACCAAGACGGCGTGCCTGGCGAGCAACGCCACCATCGACATGGACGAGTGGGTGGCGTCGTTCTCGGCCGACGGCTCGCTCTTTGCCACCGGCTCGGGCAACGCCTACGGCGATCCGTCGCAGCTGCTCGTTGTCGACACCGCGTCCGGCAAGCCGGTCTTCCAGTCGGAGCTCAAGTCTCTGCCTAAGACCCTCGGCGCTGCCCAGAACCTCATCTGGATCTGGTCGGTGACGTGGAAGGCGTAGTTGTCCCGGCTGCTGTAAACCACGACCTTTTTTTCGACACCGCTGCCAAAGGGCGAGGCCGAGGCAGCGTGGTGGGGAGAGGGCGACACGTGGGACAACACCCACTTGTCTCCCACCCCCCCCCCCCCCCTCTCTGGTCATGGCGGCATCTTCGCAACCGCTGCAGACCATCTCGTCGCCACCTGTGGCGGTCTCGCGTGGAAGCTCTGGGGCGAGCTTGGGCGAGGACGAGAACGGCGAGGCGGCCGAGCTGTACACAGAGACCGGAGAAGTCAACGTCATTCGCGACGTTCTGGGCACGCTCGATCACGTAGGCAAGGACTCGGAGGTGACGCTGCTGCTGCTGGAGAACGGGATCAAGCTGACGGTGGTCAATGAGTCTAAGACTGTCCTCGCCAACGCTTTCCTGCAGGACAAGCTCTTCTCCAAGTACGCCGTGGCCGTAGGCGTCCGCTTTACCGTCTCGCTCACCGTCCTGCTCGAGTGCCTCACTCTGTTTGGCACGTCGTCGACTGGCCGGCCGCTGCGGATGATCCACGCCCGCGACGGCGCGCCGCTGGTGCTCGAGCTAGTCGAGGCGTCGGTGGCGACCCGGTGCGCCATCGCCACCCTCGTCGCGGCCGAGCCGATCGAGCTCAACTTTGCCTCGCCTGACGTCCGGGGCAAGGCCATCATCATCTCCAGCGCCGTCCATGACGCGCTGTACGAGCTAGAGGGCGTGGCCGGCTCCATTGCCTTTGAGTTTGTGCCGCAGACTCGCGCGGCAAGCGCCATGTTCCGCATGAGTGCTCGCGGCTCGGCCGGCTCATGTGCCATCGAGTTCCCGCACACGTCGGACGGCGGCGGCACCAGCGGGGGCACGGCAGAAGTCGGCCCCGGTGCTGCTGCCCTCATCGAGTCGTTTGATACTGTCGAGCTCATCACCAACGAGTACAAGACCGAGCTTGTCCACGCCTCGCTCCGGGCGCTCGCGCTCGCGTCCAAGACCTCCATCCGGGTCAACACCGAGGGCATTCTCTCGCTGCAGCACATGATCAACCGCGGCGACGAGCTGATCTTTGTCGAGTTTTTCGTGGTTCCGGACGAGGCGTACGAGCCGGATGCGGCCTAAAAGCCGGCGTGACTCGGCTACGGCACTCGCTCGATGCCGCTCACTCCCGATGCGCATCGCGGGCACGAAAACGCCCCCGGGTCGCGGGCACGGTGCGCAGCAAGGCAGTAGTAGCAGCCAGAGTGGTGGCAAGGCTCGAGCCGAAAGGCAAAGCTTGCGGCGTTGACGCCGCACACGATGCAGCCGGTCGGCACATGCTTGGCGCCGGTGTCGGCGGCCGGGCCGACAAGGACGGATGTGGCGGCGCGAACTGCCGACGACGCAGCGTAGTCGAGCGCCGTCTTGACCCGCTCGATGTTGATGAGCGGGAGAAGGGCTGCGAGGGCATTAGAGAGCGCGATCCAGCCAAGCGTCCGGTCCATAAAGTGCAGCGCGACAAAGCGGGCTCGCCCCGGTGCGCTCCGCACAAGCTGCATGCCTAAGACTCGGTCCAGGAGCGAGACGTAGGCACCGGAGCGGAGAAAGACGAGGGCGTTGACGAGCGACGCGGCGCGGACAAGCCAGAGGACAGTACGGAGGATGGCGCCACCGAGCGTGCGGCGGGTGCCTGTCCGCCTCGCTGCAGTCAATACAGCAGCACCAGCTTGCCACGGTGATCCGCGGAGGTCGTCGGCACTCACATCGAGCATGGGCAGGCTATCGGCGCAGCTGTCGAGACGGATCCAGGCCCAGAGGCCAGCTGTGGATGCGGCGACATGGAGCAGTTTGCGAGGCATAGACGGCGGGATGAGCTCGCCCGATGGTGATGAGACGCGATAGACCATGTTGTAGAGCAAGCCGCCAAAGGTAGCATCATGCGACAGGAGCGAGGCATGATGGAGAAGAAGAGCAAGAGCTGCCGAGACCATGGCTTTGTGGCTCTCCAACCAAGCCTGTGGCGAGTCTGTCACATACCGCAGGGCATCGACAATGCGCGGACGGTAGACATTGGTCAGTGACGAGTTGAACACATACGAATCAGCAGCACCAGCTCTCGAGTACACCACATTCTCCACAAGTGCCTCGTCCATGTTGCCTGTGTGGCGTCGAGTGGTCTCCGGGTTGAGGGATTGAACCGGGGAGAGCGGGTGGGGGAGGGGGGGCGACGATCGGAGTCGTGATGGGGTGATAAGTGGAGATGGGGATGAGGACGAAGGATATGATGTCGTAGGGAGCGGATGCGATGTCGTGGGCGATGGATGTGTTGTTGTGAGCGGATGGAGGGGGCGAGGGGGAGGCTGAAGGAGGAAAGGAGGGAGAGGGATCGATCGGACGGACACGTGGCGAATGGGGGTGAGGGACAGACACGGGAGGGAGAGGCAGGGAGCGGAGAGGGGGGGGGGGGGGGGAGTACAGAGGACACCCAACTGTATTTTTATCTGTACAACTACGTACACTTTCCTCTTGATAATGGAGACTGTTACCATGGTGCTGAACAAGGTCCATGGACTGGTGGGCCTGCCCGAGTCGGTCGAGCTCCCGCTGGCTGTTGATCTGCTCATCCTGGTGGGTGCCGTCATTGTGGCCAAGTCGCTCATGGGCATGATCAAGGCATTTTACGTCTACTTTATCCGCCCGGGCAAGAACCTCCGCAACTATGGCGAGTGGGCCGGTACGTGGCGAGTGGCAGGGGCAGTAGGGGGAGGGGGGGGGGGGGGGGGGAGGGTAGCGGTGGTGACGGGGAAGACTCACGCACGGAAGAGAGGATGCTGACTGTGGTGGGCAGTGGTGACCGGTGCCTCGGATGGGATCGGCAAGGCGTACGCGGGCGAGTTTGCGCGTGCTGGGCTCAACGTGGTGCTCATTTCGCGGACACAGTCGCGGCTGGATGAGGCTGCGGCGGAGATTGCGGCCAAGTCGCCCAACGTGGAGATCAAGACGATTGCGGTGGACATGGGGTCGGGCAAGGAATCTGGCATCTACGAGACGATCGAGGCTGAGATTGGCTCGCTCAACGTGGGCATTCTTGTCAACAACGTGGGCATGTCGTACGACCACGCCGAGTACTTTGACCTGCTGGACGACTGGCGGGTGGATACGATGGTGGAGCTCAACGTGGCGGCCATGAACTGGATGACCAAGCTTGTGCTTCCGGGCATGAAGGAGCGCAAGTCGGGCGCGATTGTCAACATCTCGTCGGCGGCCGGTACCATCACCGACCCGCTGTACGCGGTGTACTCGGGGACCAAGGCGTACGTCGACTTTTTCTCGCGGGCGCTCAACGTCGAATACGCCCAGTACGGCATCGACGTCCAGTGCCAGATTCCGTTCTTTGTCACTACCAAGCTCGCCAAGATCCGCCGCTCCTCGCTCTTTATTCCCACGCCTGCCGGCTTTGCTCGTGCCTCGGTCTCCAAGATCGGCTACGAGGCCTCGATCGTTCCGTTCTGGGCCCATGCCCTCCAGGCCTACATCTTCTCGCTCCTCCCGGTGCGGGTTGCCAACGCCAAGCTTATGGGCGACCACCTGTCGCTCCGCAAGCGCGCCCTCCGCCGCAAGGCCGAGAAGGCTGCCAAGGGCGAGTAAAGATCACCTGGGTTTTTCACTATTGGAGCCTCTGTTTACACCTCACCTCACATGACCGACATCCGCTGCTCCATGTTGACCTTGCGGCCGACGTGGAAGGCGAGGGCGGCGGCGAGGGCGACGATGGCGTACAGCAGTGCCACACCGCCGGCGCACGAGCCGCCGGCCTTGAAAAGGAGCGTCGACCACGAGGCGGCGAGATGGATGGCGGCGACGGCGGCCGGGTAGCGGAGCTCGGACCGGTGGTAGCCATAAAAGGCGACCGGCATAAAGACGATGTTGAGGAGAACAAAGGCAAGGGTGGAGAGCGCGTTGATAAAGAAGAGCGAGGTGGCCGGGCAAGCCGGAGTGAAGAGGGCACCCGGACCACGACCCTCGTACAGCAGGCCACCATATGAGGCCAGGGCATGAATGGCAGCATATCCCAGACCAGCAGCAGTGGCAAAGCCCATTCTCCGGTAGATGTCTAGTGGACGCATGCCCTCGATGAGCAGCCGCAGCTCGATCTTTGCCCAGAGCATGTGAAAGAGGCCACGAACAGCTTCGCTAATGACTACCGAGAAGAAGACCACGGCTCCGTACGAGCTCTGCATGGGCGGGATGATGGTCCACCACAGCGCTCCACAGAACGATGCCACCAGCCATACGAATGATCTGGACGAGGGAGAGGGGGGGGAGGGGAGGGAGGAGGCAAGAGATCTTGGAATCTTGAGATGTAGGCTGATGAGACGATGGATGGGTGGCGATGGTGGGTGGGTGTGGTTGGCGGTCGGACGGTGTGGCGACTTGGTCGACATGGCTGCTGCTCACCTCGGGTGGTGCTCACCTCGGCTCCGGCCAGGGCACAGGGCTCGTAGTTGACCTCACTTTGACGCACTCCACCCTATACACTCTCCCACGTCATCTATTTGTGGCTCATGAACCTTCCGCTGGTGGTGGGCGTGCTGGTGGTGGTGGCGGCGTCGCCGCTGGTGCTCGACGGCTTGCATGCGGTGTGTCCACGGCTCGGCATCGGCCGCAGGGCCCAGCGATCGGCCGGCTATATGCTGATGGCCCTCCTTGCGGCGCTGCCGCACATGGGCATCGGCCTGCTCTGGGCAGTCTTTGCGCCGTATGTGGCAGCGGAGCAAAATGTTGTCTCGGGGCATGTGGCAGAGATGGCGCTGTCTGCTCTCGGCCTGGTTCTCTTTGCCGGCATCATCCGCAACCTCGTTGCCGCCCTCTTTCCGCCGTCGCCTGATGGCGGTCGGGAGGCGGGTTGGGAGCCGGCATGGGTTGACGCCTGCCGCGAGTGCGGGCTGGACGCGGTGCCGGAGCGCGATCACCACTGCGTCTTTCTCAATCGCTGCGTCGACGCCTCCAATCACACCGTCTTTGTCCGTTTTGTCGTCTTTCTCTGGCTCGGCGCGAGCTACGCGCTCGCGATCTCGGGCTACGGCTACCTCGAGTGTGGCTACCACGTCCGCGCGCTCGTTCGGCCGCCCTCCTGCGCTGAGCTGGAGGGCATGCACATCCTCGCGCTGCCGCTCATCGCGCTCTGGCTCCCGCTCACCCTCCTCACTCTCCTCGTCGTCCGCCTCGCGATTGGTGGTCTCGGCCTCAGCCGCTGGCTCCGCGCCTGGCGTCGCGGGCATGGCGCGAGCAACCCAAAGACAGCGATTCCACGTCGGCGGGTGAGGGATCGCGGCTGGCGGGTGGTGTTTGGCGCGAGCTGACGGAGCCCCGTGTCACTTCTTCTGCCTCGACTGATTCGCCCGTGCTTCTCCCGGCTTGTCGGAGGGGCGTCGCAAGATGTAGGTCGCGCGGAACAACTGTGCGGCGGCGGCGACGTGACGTCCTCCTAGTCGGCGTCTGATCCGGCTCTGTCGCAGATCTGCGCCCACCGCAACTCACCCCATCCGATACAAGAGCGTGGGTACTGCAGACAGGCTGCAGCCATGTTGCGCATCGGCTGTGTGCTACCCAGGAGGCCAGGAGCGGCGAGGCAGCGGGCGGACAAACAAAAAATTTGCCGCTGCCCAACCATGGCCAGTAAAGCGAGGCAAAGAGGCGAAGAGAGGGGGGAGCAGAGGAGAGGTCGCCAGGCTTGAGCCACCCAACTCAACATGCTGAGCTTCTCGACGCGTGCTGTTTCCAAGGTACGACATACAATAGCAGTGTGTGAGGCATGGCAAGTGTGCTGTACAGTGTGCTGTGGCCGTCAGTGTATGCATGGGTGGGCGGGCGGTGCGGGCAAAGAATGTGTGTCGCGTCGCCCCCATCACCCGACCGACCGAACTTTCCCTCTTTGGCCGCCTGCCACTCGCCCTTGTCCCAGGCTGTGAGGAGCAACGGAGGTTACTCACGAAGCTACATATATATATGTGTGTGTGTATGTGTGTGTGTGCGTGTCGGTGTGTGTGTGCTTGTGGTGGCGAGAGAGTTTAGGCGCTCCCGGTGGCGCTCGCGCGTGCGGCGTCCAACGCCGTCCCTCTCTCCAACGTCGACGGCGGCAAGACGCTCGACTACGGAGCGCTTAACGACAAGCTGACTGTGGTGCGTGAGCGGCTGAACCGGCCGCTGACGCAGTCTGAGAAGCTGCTGTACTCGCACATGGTGCACCCCGAGTCTGGCGAGATTGTGCGTGGCAAGTCGTTCCTGGACCTCAACCCGGACCGTGTCATCCTGCAGGACGCGACGGCGCAGATGGCCACGCTGCAGTTTATTTCTGCCGGCCTCCCCACGGTTGCTGTCCCGACCTCGATCCACTGTGACCACCTCATCCAGGCGCGCGACGGCGCCGAGTCGGACCTCTCGCGCGGGATGGAGGAGAACAAGGAGGTGTTCGACTTTCTCAGCTCGGCTGCCAAGAAGTTTGGCATGCACTTTTACAAGCCCGGCGCCGGCATCATCCATCAGGTCGCGCTGGAGAACCTGATTATTCCGGGTATGCTCGTGATCGGGACCGACTCGCACACTGTCAACGGCGGTGGCATTGGCTCGTTCTCTGTTGGTGTGGGCGGTGCCGATGCGCTCGACGCGATGGTCGGCCTCCCGTGGGTCCTCAAGACGCCCAAGGTCATCGGCGTGCACCTGACCGGCGAGCTCAACGGATGGTCGTCGGCCAAGGACGTCATCCTCAAGGTTGCCGACATCCTCACGGTCTCGGGCGGCACCGGCGCGGTTGTGGAGTACTTTGGCGAGGGCGTCAACTCGATTTCGGCAACGGGCATGGGCACCATCACCAACATGGGTGCGGAGATTGGCGCGACGACGTCGGTCTTCCCGGTCACGGACTCGACGCTGCGGTACCTGCACGCGACGAACCGCGGCTCTGTGGCGGACGTTGTCTCGCGGTTCAACGACGAGGTCGGGTTCTTCAAGGCCGACGAGGGCGCGCCGTACGACCAGGTCATCGAGATCAACCTTTCCGAGCTCGAGCCCATGCTCAACGGCCCGTTCACGCCGGACCTCGCTACGCCGGTCTCGCAGATCGCCGAGCGCGCCGAGGCCAACGGGTGGCCGGTCGAGGTCTCGGCCTCGCTCATCGGCTCGTGCACCAACTCGAGCTTTGAGGACATGTCGCGGGCGGCGTCGCTCGCGCAGCAGGCGCTCGACGCCGGCGTCAAGTCCAAGGTGCCGTTCCTCATCACGCCCGGCTCGGAGCAGGTCCGCGCCACCATCGAGGCCGAGGGCCTTGTGGAGATCTTTGAGGCTGCTGGCGGCAAGGTCCTCGCCAACGCGTGCGGGCCGTGCATCGGCCAGTGGGACCGCGACGTGGAGGGCCCCAACTCGATCGTGACCTCGTACAACCGTAACTTTACTGGGCGCAACGACGGCAACCCCGAGACGCACGCCTTTGTCACCTCGCCGGAGGTCTGTGTGGCCATGGCCTTCTCGGGCAAGTTCTTTGACCCGATCAACGGCACGGTCGACGGCTCGTTCAAGTTTGAGGCGCCGCAGGGCCCCGAGCTCCCGCCGGGCGGCTTTGTCACGGGGCGCAACATGTACCAGGCGCCTGCCGAGAACCCCGACGACGTCGAGGTCATTGTTGCTCCGGACTCGGAGCGCCTTCAGCTCCTCGAGCCGTTCCAGCCGTGGTCGGGTGCCGACTTTGAGGACATGCCCATCCTCGTCCTTGCCAAGGGCAAGGTCACCACCGACCACATCTCGGCCGCCGGCCCGTGGCTCCGCTACCGCGGCCACCTCGAGAACATCGCCAACAACACATACATTGGCGTGACCAACAAGGACGGCAAGGTCAACGAGGCCACCAACCAGCTGACCGGCGAGACCGGCGCCATCCCCGAGGTCGCCAAGGCCTACCGCGACAACGGCGTCGACTGGATCTTTGTCGGCGGCGACAACGTCGGCGAGGGCTCGTCGCGCGAGCATGCCGCCCTGCAGCCGCGGTTCCTCGGCGGCAAGGTCGCGCTCGCCAAGTCGTTTGCCCGCATCCACGAGACCAACCTCAAGAAGATGGGCATGCTCCCGCTCACCTTTGCCGACGCGGCCGACTACGACAAGCTCGCTGCTGACGACCGCATCTCGGTCGTCGGCCTCAACGCCCTCGCTCCCGAGGACCAGGTGACCATCAAGGTCACTCGCGCCAACGGTGAGTCGTTTGAGATCAAGGCCGACCACACGCTCAACGCCGACCAGATCGAGTGGTTCAAGGCCGGCTCCGCCCTCAACTTTATCAAGAAGACTTTGTAGTGGAGAAAGCCCAAGCCAAACAAACGCCATTTTGCACCCGTCATGATCCTCTTTCTCTCGCACTCTCTTGCGCAGCACCGGGGGCTTTACGCTTGCAGCGCCCGGTACCCGTGTGCCAGCGCCCGCCCTGCCGCTGCCGCCTCGTCCTCAGTGAGGTACAGGCCGGTAGAGAGCCGAAGCGTGCCGCGCGCCCATTTGTCGGGGACGCCGATAGCGGCAATGACGCGCGAGATGGTGACTTCGCCGGCGTGGCACGCCGCACCGGCGGATGCAGCCACCTCATCACGCACCGCTTCAAGCAGATCCGATGCAAGCACGTCCGGGAACGAGACCGAGAGCGTGTTTGGCAGGCCGGATGCAGGCGAGTTGCGCACAAGCTCGACAGCCTCGAGCTCGGTAACGAGCGTAGTCCACAGCATGTCGCGGGTCGCGGCCATGTGCGCTGCCCGGTCTTCGAGGTGGTCGACAACCGCCTGCGCCGCCGCGCCAAGGCCCGCCAGCAGCAGCGTAGCCTCGGTACCGGCACGGCGGCCGCGCTCGTGGCCGGCGCCGTGCATGAGCGGCTCGAGGAGCGGCCCGAGTTGCGGCGCAATGTACAGCGCGCCGATGCCCTTGGGTGCGTACAGCTTGTGGCCGGCGACAGTGAGCAGGTCCACGCCGAGCGAGGAGACGTCGACGGGGATCTTGCCCACAGCCTGCGACGCGTCAGTGTGGACGATGATGCCGCGGGCGGCGCAGAGCTCGGCGATGGCCTGCAGCGGGTTGAGACTCCCGATCTCGTTGTTGGCAAGCATGAGGGTGACAAGGCCCGTCTCTGGTCGGAGAGCTGCGTCGACTGCATCGGCCGAGACGCAGCCGTGGGCATCGACAGCCACACGGGTGACGGTCAACGCGCCTGCGGCCTCGAGCGACGCGAGGACGACTTCAACGGCCGGATGCTCGACGTTGGAGGTCACGACATGGGTCTTGCCCGAGGCGGTCAGATGCGGCAGCAGGCCCTTGATGGCCCAGTTGTTGGCCTCTGTCCCGCCCGATGTAAAGACAATCGAGTCGCGAGCGTCGGGTACGCCAAGCATGGCCGCCACCGACGCGCGCGCCGAGTCTACCACACCCGCGGCAGCAGTGCCATAGCCATGGCTCGACGACGGGTTGCCGCACAGTGACATGTGGCTGCTCTCGGCAAGGAAGGCCGACATGGCTGTCCGCGCCTCGGCGCACAGCGGTGTGGATGCGTTGTAGTCGAGGTAGACGGCCATGGTGGTGAGGGTGACGATGAGCGAAGTGTGGCGGTGGGGGTAGCGGTGGGGCGGGGCGGGGGGCGGCAAAGCGGGCAGCTTGGAATGACATGAGATGCAGAATTTGATGGCGGTAGCTGATGGGGCCGATGGAAGAGAGGATGCCGGCTGAGCGCTAGATTGCGGTGAGGACGGCGGCAGTGGCGACGGCAAGGCCAGCGATGGCATGGCGGGTGGCCGGGGAGAGGGCGGCGGCGGACGAGGTGGTCGACGATGGGCCGGACGCGACGGTGACGCGGTAGTCGGACGAGTCCGAGGTGGTGGCAGCCTCCAGGAAGGTGGCTGACGAGGTGGCCGAGCGAGTACGGGCAGAAGGAACCTTGCAGGTGACCTGGATCGGGGTAGCGCCGGCGGCCGAGTTGAGGGCGCAGCGGGCGGACGTGACGACGGCATCGCGGTAGACGGCGCAGACGTCGATGTTGTCGACGGCGTCACAATAGCGGTCCACAAGCTCGAGAAGGAGGGCGCGGACGTTGTCGACAGCAAACTGGGAGAGGACGGTGTTGGCAGCAGGCGTGGTGCCCTCGATCTCAAAGGTGACCGAGTCAACGTTGAGGCAGGTCGGGGCGGTCGAGGTGGCGTTGGCGCGGAGGCCGCAGATCTGAGATGACTCGTCGCACGCCGGGGCGCACGATGGCGCGGCCGGCTTGCACGACGGGCAGCAAGACTCCTTGAGCATGACAGACTCCTCGCCGTCCTCGCAGTCGCGGATGGTGGTGGCGCAGGCGGCGACGTCGTCGAGAGAGCAGGTGGCCAGCGGGCGACGGCAGGTGGCACAGCACGCCGAGCCGCGAGCAAAGACCGGCGTCTCGGTTGGCTCGCACATCGGGCGCGCCGACGCGCACGCCGCACGCTGCTCGCGAGTGCACGTCCCGTCGGGAGCCGGAAGCACTGCATCGGCGTCCTGGATGCGGCACGACGGGCAGCACGAGTCCGACTCAAAGATCGGCTCTTCACCGGCGTCGCAGGCGCGGAGCATGTCAAACGATGCCTCGCACTGCTTGGGATCGCACCGCGGCCGCGGGCGGCAGGTGAGGCAGCACAGGTTGCCCGAGTCCGGCGACGGCTCGGTGTTGGCCGCGCACTGGCTCATCGAACACGTCGACGACCGGCAAGCAAGCTCGCCACCGGCGAGCCGGCACGACGGGCATCCAGAGCGGGTGTCAATCGTCGGCGGCGTCGAGGCGGAGCACGGCGGAATCGAGGCGGTCGCGTTGCAGATCGGCGGCCGAGTGCACGAAACGGTGCAGGCCGAAGTGTCGATCGTCGGCTGGACGCCGGGAGCGCAGGTCGTTGCGCCCGACGCGGGACGGAGGCCCTGGCCCTCGCACGGCGGACGGCATGAGAGACAGCAGTTTGGCTCAGCCGAGCGGGTCGGAAGGACGCCGGCGGCGCACGGCGGGGACGGCGGGCACGATGCGTCCGGGTTGCATCCCGGTGGCGGCGGCGGCGGCGAGCGTGGGCACTGCGCCCGCGTCGAGTTGGTGACCGGCAAGTTGCACGAGTACGTCCCGCTAGCATAGCAGCGGGCGGGATCGTTGCCGACTGGCTTGCAAAAGTGGCAAGGCCCATTGTCGGTAAACGACGAGACACACGCGCCGCAGTCGCGGTCGCGCAGCGCTGACGGGCACTGCGCCACAGGCCGGGCAGCGACAAGAGTCACAAGCAGCGTGAGAGCCACAAGAAGCGCAAGCGGATTGTTCATACCGATCTGGTACAGTTGATGGCGTGTGGAGATAAGAGCGTGTGAGAAGAGTGCGGGCGAGGGTGGCGCAGTTTTGTGGCAAAAAAGGTTACGGCTTGATGCGCAACAAAAATAGTTGATGCGAGTGAACACGCGTGGGTTGGCCTCAACCCCCCCCCTAGCCTGGGCCCATCCTCGGAGGTTGTGGGGGAGGAGATTGTTTGGGAGGAGAGGGGTAGGCATGATGATGCTTGTGATGGAGGTTGGTGGGGCGTGGGAGCTTCGCCTGGTTCGAGACGGGATCCATGACGCTGCATCAGCACAGCTCGTACGACGAGTAAAAGTGATGATGCGGGCCGTGGCGCAAAATGATGCCGGCGGCGGCAATGACCGGCAGCTCGTCGTTGTCGAGCCGGTGGAACGAGGGGAGGTAGAGGCGATCGCCGGCGAGCGTAGCCTTGACGACAACCTTGAATCGCTCCCAGGGGTGGCGACCGCCGGGTCGATCGAGTGGAAGCCGTGGGAGGAAGAGCAAGTGGCGGGTGTAGCCATTTCGGCCCTCGTGCACAACCATCGACGAATCCAGGATGTGTGGAAGAAAGGCCCACAGTCTCGGGCCGATGTCCGGGTGCTTCCGCTGCTGTTTGGCCCAGGTGACGGCGGAGAGGCGGACGAGCGGGAGCGCGGCGGCAAGATCAAAGCCGGCCAGCGCCAGCCAGCTCGGCGCGCCTGGAATTATCGCCACAGGCACCGCTGCGCGAGGGTAACCGCACGGCTGCGGTAGGCTCCCCGGAGCAGGTAGCAACTCGTGGGCCGCGACGAGGTCCGCCGCAGCCGCCGTCCACGCTGGGCAGTCGGCAACGGCGGCAACCGCGAGAGCAAGCGCATCAGCAGCAGCGGCCGATGCCGCCACGAGCATGCCCGAACAAGGTGAGATGCTAGCTACCTCGTGGTGCGACTCGACCCATGCGCAGAGAAGATCGAAGCAGGCAGAGGTGAGCTCCGGATGAGACGAGAAGAAGTCGGTGGTAGGCGCCGAGCAGCCGAGCTCATCGGCAGCGGACTCCCACATCTCGTGCAGTATCATGCAAAAGGAGACAGAGCATGTTGGAGGAGGTGGCGGGTATGAGGACGACATGACGGTCCTGCCATGGATGGAGGTGGCAGTGGGCGAGAGGTGGTATCGAAGCCGGGAGAAGGGTCGATGACTCGACTTGCGCATCGCCATCGATGGTGGAGAGACAGGCGGTTCGACGATACCAATGGGGAGGCACGGTAAGGTGTGGATGTGTGTGAGGCTATCTGCACTTGCAGCCGCCGGCAGGGTGCGATCAGCGAGAGCTGGGAGAGCGGAGAGAGACAAGATCAACAAACTGCTGTAGTATGACTTCAAAGTCGACGAAAAGGGAAGGAGATAAAGACGAGGAAAACAGAGTTCAAGCACGCGCTACGGCTATAACTGGCGAGCAGTATGAATATGGCTGGTATGCGGTGTGCGGATGTGAGGAAAAGAACTTGTAGGAGAATGGCCGTGGCAAGAAGGAGGCGATGTTGTCAGGGCGGAGGCCGTCGTTTCGATCCGTCGCGACTCAACCTGGTTGAGCAGGGAGCCGCTGGCTAACCAGCCACACGACTTCATGGAGGCAAGGGACATTGTGTTGCGGGCTGCGGCTGCCGACGGGGGCGGTATTGAAACTTCATTCCACGCTGGGCGAGAGGTGGTATCGAAGCCGGGAGAAGGGTCGATGACTCGACTTGCGCATCGCCATCGATGGTGGAGAGACAGGCTGGTCGACGATACCAATGGGGGGGGCACGGTAAGGTGTGGATGTGTGTGAGGCTATCTGCACTTGCAGCCGCCGGCAGGGTGCGATCAGCGAGAGCTGGGAGAGCGGAGAGAGACAAGATCAACAAACTGCTGTAGTATGACTTCAAAGTCGACGAAAAGGGAAGGAGATAAAGACGAGGAAAACAGAGTTCAAGCACGCGCTACGGCTATAACTGGCGAGCAGTATGAATATGGCTGGTATGCGGTGTGCGGATGTGAGGAAAAGAACTTGTAGGAGAATGGCCGTGGCAAGAAGGAGGCGATGTTGTCAGGGCGGAGGCCGTCGTTTCGATCCGTCGCGACTCAACCTGGTTGAGCAGGGAGCCGCTGGCTAACCAGCCACACGACTTCATGGAGGCAAGGGACATTGTGTTGCGGGCTGCGGCTGCCGACGGGGGCGGTGGGCTCGGCTGCGACGTGGGGCTCATGGCTGTGCGGTCTCGCGCTCGGGCTGGCCCCCTACGGCCGCTGGCCGATGTGGTGGCGGCGGCGAGGGGGAGCGGCGAGCTGGCGGATGGCGTCCTTGCCGATCTGGGCACGCATCTTGGGCGCCTCGGCCCGGAGGACGGACTCGCAGGCGTGGTGCTGCCACTTGCGGCGGCGGCGGTGCGGCAAGTGAGTGCGAGGGCGGCGCTGGGGTATCTGATCCGCGAGGAGGGACCGGCGCTGGCGGCGGCGGCGGCGCAGGTTGGAGCCATCGGCGAGCCGGCTGATACGCTGATGGTGGTGGTAGCGCTGATGAAGCTGGCACCAACGCTGAAGCGTGCCTCACGTCCGGCGAACGAGTCGGGAAACTCGCCGTGGGCGTCAGTGGCGGTCCCGGTCGGCGTTGCAGTCCTGAGGTGTGCCGCTGACGAGCCGGGGCCGACTCGGCTGACTCTCGCCGCGGCTGATATGGTGGCGATGGGGCGGATGCTGCAGGCAGAGGCCGACGCAGCTCTGGAGACACTGCTGCGGACGCATGCTCGATGGGCGGTAGGCGCAGGACAAGGCGCGATGGCGGCGGCATGGGCGGCGGTTGTCGACGCGGTGTGCGGTGGGCGCGGCCCGAGCATAAACAGGTGGGCTGCGGCTCGAGTCGCGCTCTCGCCTAGCCAGGCGA